ACTTATCTCAAAGTGAAATATTGTTTTCAAGATTGCACTCAGAAACTTAAATTCATGTGAGAATTGAAAGTCATTGATAAATGAGTTAATACAAAATTTAATTTTGCCTTGATGCAATTGCTTTATATATTTCTATATTGATTAATAAATACACAGTACTAACCTAACCACAGATAGTTAAAAAGAAAAAAAATAAATTAATAATATCAAATAATTTATAAATATAGTATAAATGATTTTTTTTTTTGTAAGTTTTATAAATTTTTGTTAATAGTTAGAGTATTAATAAATTAGTACTAAATTTTTATTGAATTGTTAATAATAATTTTGTAATAAATTTTTACAAATTATTCATTAATTGTTAATTAATTTTATTGTCAAATATTTTTTTACTATTTTATTGTCAAAATAGTAATATGATGAGTGACAACAATAAAAAAGAATTCAATATTTTTATTACTAAATTTAACTGCCATATAACATAATTTTGACTAGTATTATAAGTATCTTTTTTACATATTGATAAAGAATCTGTAGAAAAAGTTTTTTTGGATTCTTTTTCTTTATATTCTTGAATATATGAAATATATTTGAAATAAACATACAGTATAATAAAGATCCAATAATATAAATCAGTAGTTATGTAGTGATAATAATAAAGTATTTGTATTTAATTAAATATCTGTATGAATTAAGTATGGATTTTTTTTATTCTTTTATAAACCATGCAATATTTTTAGTACAATTAATTAACAGCAAAATAATTAAATAGGTTCTTCTGGGATTTAGACTTTACGCCTATAGATAATTAAATCGAAGATGAATTGGTGACTCGAGATTTAGTCGAGTGATCTGCGCATTCTTTTTATCGGGACGGTTTTCAATAGGTGTAATTTGTTCCTGTTTAATCTCCTTGATATCACGTTCTAGTTTCGTTACTCTACCCTTAAGTTTAGAATTTTCTATCTGACTTCGCTTCTCATTCTAAAGCACTTTTTTTTTGAGTTCTGTTCTAATTCTACAATTCTAGCTCCAAACCCTTCTTCCTTAGCCGAGGATTCAGCCTCCTCTCTTTTTAGTTCAGTATTCTCAACTAAAAGCTTGGAAATCTGTTCTTCTAATAAATCGACTTAGACTGTGTATTTGCCATTATTTTTATATAATACAGTATATTACTATTTAAAATAAAAAAAAATGTGTCCGTTCCAGAGCACTTTTGCCAAGAAAAATAATAATCACTATTGATGTATTTACATTTTATTTCTTGACTATGACGTCATTTTTTAATATAACCATGATGAAATATTTATGACCGCTAAATCTATAAAATCATTTTCGCTATATAAGTATTGTATATAATTATACCCCATTCGGTAATAAATCCTCGTCGGGCACGCGACAAGTCTAAAGAATAAAATGATCGATTATTTATACACGGAATGTATCCTGCTTCGCAGACTTTTTTTCGCTCATACATCGCAAGGCTAACACTGCTATAAAGCCTTACCTACGTATATGCTCTCTTCTACAATCAGTGGTCGCCGGTGGGATTCGGATTTGACTCGCTTTCGGGTTATCGAGTCTGATTCGGTTATTTAGATTTCGTGCGTCGTTTAGGTCTTGTTTAGGGATCATAGAAACTACTGATCCATGCGTGCCCCTCTCTACCCCATTCTCGAGATCAGTGTAGACCAAAAAAAAATCACTTAGATTATGGAAGAAGGTACTGTCGACGAAATATACGACGCTGTGTCGAATCCCTCTCGTGATTGGGAAATTACCGTGTAACAAGAAACGCGAGGAGAATGCTACAATCTGGCTTGGTCTTAGCGGAATCATGATCTGAAGTTGTAGAAACAAAGTTCGCCACCCCTCGACATCACCCAATGCGACAAGCAACATAAAGAATTCGGATGTTCATGTTCATCTCAGTGCAAATCACTTGGAAAGGGTCTTGGAGTAAATACTCCCATTTCAATTCAGATAGTTTCTCGTATAAGCTCTTATAGTAACTCTCGATAAAACTGTTGATGGAATCATATAGTGGTATTAGTTCGCGAAGTAAATTATTCACGCATTCTAAGTGATCGATATTATTGCAGTGTATGCGCCGAAGTGTTCGTCCAGAACTCGTCGATTCGATTATTCAACGTATGGAAATAATAGTGGTTAATGGCGTCTGCATCTACAAGTGATAAGAAAAAATGTTTATAAATTGCCTTCGACCATCCGAAGAAGAGACGTTCGCGCTATTAATAAGTCCCTTGTACGTAGTTATATCGTGTTGCGTCTTTTTATTTTTAAACGTTATCCGATCCAAGGGAAAGAGCTGTGTACTTGATCATTCATTTTTCATTTTCAATATAATATATTTTGTTTGAAGTGCATAATCCCCGAGTTGAATACGATGCTAAAAATGATAATGGGACTTTAGCTTATTTGATTTAATGTCGTTAAGATACTCTTTTCCAGTCAAGTATATGACGTAAAAGGATAGGACATCAAATAAGTTGTATTTTTTGCGGAGCGGAATTAATTACCCTTGCCAAAGCACTGAGCCACCAACTCTAATAAAGTATGCATCTGTTGCACCCCAAACTTGCTGAGCAAACTCGCGACAAATAACTCAGGTAATTCTCCTATCAGCACTAATAATGACAACGAACAAGAGGTATTTGTTATACTAAATAGGATGTCATATTAACGAAAGCGAGTCAAATCCGAATCCCACCGGCGACCACTGATTGTAGAAGAGAGCATATACG